TACAAAAATATCATTTACAATAGCCCCTCAAAATGAAATACTTGGGTAGAGATCTAATAAAATGTGCATAAGATCTATATGTTAAAATCATAAAATTCTGAGGAAAGTAGTAAGGAAAATCTGAATAAATTGTGAAACATACCATATGCATGAATTGGAATATTCAGCATAGCAAATACGTTTATTCTCAAATTTATTCATAGATGTAACACAATTCCAATCAAGATCTCTTCAGGATATTTTTGTAAATAAAAGCTTATTCTAAAATTTATATGGAAAGGCAAAGGATGTAGAATAACAAAAGACTTAAAAATAAGAATGAAATTGTAAAAAATATATTGCCCATTTTAAGATTTTTCTGTAAAGCTTCAGTAATCAGAGCTGCATGGTACAAAGTGATAGACACATAAGTCAGTGGAACAGAATAGAAAGACTACAAAAATATGCCCAGCTGATTTTTTACAGAAGTACAAAGGCAACTCAATGAAGAAAGGACTGTCTTTTCAACAAATGGCATTGGAACATTTGGACATCCATATGCAAAGAATTGTTCTCAATACCATCTCATGCCTTATATGACAACTCAAAATGGATGACAGACCTTAATGTAAAATGTAAAACCATAATACTTTGATAAGAAAACATAGGAGAAAATCCTAATAGCCTCAGATTAGGCAGTTCTTAGACATGCTAACAATCCATGATTGAAAAAAGTCACTAATTTGGGCTTAACCAAATTTTAAATCTTTGCTCTGCAAAAGACAGAAGAAAATGAAAAGACAAGATCCAGACTCAAAGAAAATACGTGCAAGTCACATATCCATTGGATGACTTTTACACAGAATATATAAAGAGTTCTCAAAACTCAACATAAGAAAACAAACAGCCCAATTAAAATTTGGACAAAAGGATTCAACAGATAACTCTACCAAAGAGGATATACGGGCCAAGTAGGCACAGAAAAATATGTTCAACATACATTTCCCTAATGTTAAAATCACGAGATACCGTTACACATGTATTAGAATGTTTAAATTAAAAACAAAAACAAAAACTTCAATCAAGGGCAAATGAATTAAATAAGCTATGGTACATTCAAGCATGTGCTCCCGCAATGCACGTGAACTACAGCTACACCCAACAACATAGGCTGTTCTCACAAAAAAATATTAATCAAAGAAACCAGAAATAAAAGACAATACATACTATATGAGTCCATTTATATGACATTTAAAAACGGTGTTGGACTCATGATAATGACTACCTTTATGGGCAGCAGAAGGGGTTGAGGGAGGCCTAGAGAGGCTTCTTTGTGGATGGTGTTCATAGCAGTGTTTGCTTCTTGATGATACTTTGATATGTACATTTATTTGTTTTTCACTTTGTTATACTTCCCAGTAAAATATTTTTTTATTAAAGTATCATTGATATACAATCTTATAAAGGTTTCACAAGAGAAACATTGTTGTTTCAACATTCACCCATATTATCAAGTCCTCAGCTCCCCCCAACCCCATTCCAGTCACTGTCCATCAGCGTAGTAAGAGGATGTAGAGTCATTACTTGTCTTCTCCATGCTGTTTCGGTAAAATATATATATTTTTTAATTGAATTGTATAGATTTAGAACAATGTTAGGGAGTTTGCTCATGATTTGTCACTTAAAGCTCTGATAGATTAAAAAAACTCAAAATAGAAATACCATTTGACCCAGGAATTCCACTCCTAGGAATTTATCCTAAGAATGCAGCAGCCCAGTTTGAAAAAGACATATGCACCCTTATGTTTATCGCAGCACTATTTATAATAGCCAAGAAATGGAAGCAACCCAAGTGTCCATTAGTAGATGAATGGATAAAGAAGATGTAGTACATATACACCATGGAGTATTATTCAGCCATAAGAAGAAAACAAATCCTACCATTTGCAACAACACGGATGGAGCTAGAGGGTATTATGCTCAGTGAAATAAGTCTGGAGGCAAAAGACAAGTATCAAATGATTTCACTCATGTGTGGAGTATAAGAACAAAGCAAAAACTGAAGGAACAAAACAGCAGCAGACTCACAGAACCGAAGAATGGACTAATAGTTACCAAAGGGAAAGGGACTGGGGAGGGATGGTGGGAAGGGAGGGATAAGGGGATTAAGGTGCATTATGATTAGCACACATAATGTAGGGGGCGCACAGGGAAGGCAGTATAGCACAGAGAAGACAAGTAATGGGGTATGTGGGGGGGACTTGATGATGGGGGGAGTCTAGTAAACATAATATTCCTCATGTAATTGTAGATTAATGATACCAAAAAAATTAAAATAAAATAAAATTTTTAAAAAAACTAAACTTATTCTCAAAAAAAAAAAAAAAAACCCTGCAATACCAAGTATGCTCCAGTAGAGCAACTGGAACTCTCATAAATTGTTGATGGGAGTGCAAAAGGTACAGCCACTGTAGAAAAGATTTTGCATTACCCTGTAAAGTTAAACATACAGTTGATGACAGGTTAAACACAGCTAATGACCCAGCAGTGTCACTTCTGGGTATTTACCCAAGAGCAGGATTTTTCAACAGTGGCACTACTGACTTTTGGGGCCAGATCATTCTTTGTTGCGGGGAGGGGGGTTGTCCTGTGCATTGTACAATGTGCAACTGCATCCCTTAACTTTTCCCACTAAACGCCAGTAGGTGGTGCTCCCACCCCTTTGCCTCAAGCTGTGGCAATCAAAACTGCCTCTAGACATTGCCAAATGTCCTTTGGCAGGCGAAATCACCCGGGTTAAGAACCACTGCCCTAAAGAAATGAAAATTTATGTCTGCATAAAATCTGTTAAAAAAAAAAGACCCTCAAGATCAGGAATTAAAAAAACGATATCCACTTCTGTAATTCTATTCAACAAAGTATTACAAGTTCTAAGCAAAGGAATTAGGCAATAAAAAGAAATAAAAGGCATCCAAATTGTAAAAGAAAAAGCAAAATAATCTGCTGATAATATGGTCTCATATGTAGAAAACACTTGATTCCATGCAAAAAAAATTAATAATAAACAAAAAAATAAACAAATTCAGCAAGGCTGCAGGATAGAAAACCAACACCCCAAATTCAGTTGCATTTCTATACACTAACAATTAGCAATCTGAGAAGGAAATTAAGAAAACAATTTCATTTACGATAGCATCAAAAAGAGTAAGATATTTAGGAATAGACTTAAGCAAGGAGACAAACTTGTACATGAAAACTACAAAACATTGCTGAAAGTAAAGCTGACATAAAATATGTAAAGACATTTCCATTTATGTTCCGGTTTACTGAGTGGAAAAGATGGTGGAGTAGGAAGGCAAGGTGAAAACCGCCTCCCATGTACACAGCAAGAGAGCAACGACTGACTCTGAAAACATCCTCAGGACTGCACAACAGGCCCCCTACAGCCTCGTGGGTATAGGACCACACAGAGAAGGGACAAAGGGCAGAGCTGCAGTCAAGTGGGACCCAAGCCCTTCCCCACCCCAGCCACGACCAGGAGGAACAGGCACAGTGGGGAGAGGACAGATGCTCCGGGACCGGGTACAGGATAAAGAAGGGTACCTGACTTTAATAAACTTGTATTTTCGCCCCTGGCCTAAATGTTTACATTCAGATCAGAACCTGTCCTCAAGGAGTAAAACAATTAAATGCATATGATTATGTGCAAAATCAAAATAAAATTATATTAGTTCTGTCCACCATACAGTGTGGTTACATGGAACAAGTGAAATAATGTCAATCAAAGTCATTTGGCAATTATATTACTGAAGCTAAAAAAACACAAGTGAATGAGATGAGATAGCCTTTTTACACACTTATCTGCTGATTCCCTCACAGCTACCTTCCTTTGGCCTACTTAATCTACTGTATAGTATTGCCTATTAATGCACAGAAACAATGATTATAAACTGAGGCAGGAAATCAATCCTTAACTGTATTGTTAGTGAAACAACCTGAAAGATCAGAAGTGAACTGCTAGTGTCTGGAATAACTCTGCACTTGCTTCTATTAGGTTATAAATTCACTTCCTTTTCTGCTCTCTAGAGACAGAGCACAGCTGGTCAGCATCCTTTATAAGAGTGTTTTCTTCTAGAAGTTTACCAAGGGCCACTACTAAGTGTGAAAAACATTGGGAAGATCACGGTAGATTTGCATATGAGTCACTTCATCTGCATATGGTTAAATGCACTTACGGCACAATTTTTATCAAACAGAAAGGCAAAATGAGGTAATCGCATTACCACCGCTTCACTGGAGATTAGTGTTTTTTGAATTTTTAACTGCCTATTATCATCATGCATAGGAGGGCAGAATTGTTTTCTCAAAAGTGTATATATGTAGTCAGTGCCTTGACTACTGTCCTTCTAAGATCTCTCTTCAAAATTTCATAGTTAAAACAGATTCTCTCTGGAGTTCCCTACATTTTTAAATTGCAAAATAGGTACAATTCTGGCTGAAGTGCTTGAAAATTGCCAGAGGTACTGAAAACCTCTCTCTTCAGGAGGCCATGCTCTCAAAAGAATCCAAGGTAAAGAGAATAGAAGGGCCAACAGAGATTAGGATTCTTGAAGTGTAAATGGCTAATCAAAGGACAGAGCTATCAGGCCTCTATCCTCACAGGTCTACAGAAACACCCTATAACACTAGTCTCCACAGACTGACACACACCCACAGCACAGAACACTCTACCCCCAGCCCAGTGGGACTTTAGGGATTCATCCTTCAATTGCTGCCTCAGCCCTGGGTACTGTTGACATCCTGTGGCCTTAAAATGGTACGAGGAGCTGAATATGGCAGGAAAGAAAACCAGCTTCAAAATCAATTTGTTCCCTGTCTAGAAATCACTGCGACACAGTATTACAACCGAGTGATTGTTTTAAGATTGCATGGGGCTTTCTGAAGTAAGTATGTTTCCTTTATGAACTCATAAGAATACAGACTGCGGTGAAGAACGAGAATAGTGAAAAATACAGTATTACCATTTGGATGTAGCTTTCTTCCTCTTCTCTGGAAACAGAATGGGCAAAAAATCTTGCAGAATGAATACCATTTCTTTCTGGAGAGAGAAAGCTGGTTCGATTGCTATGAACAAAAATACAGATGAGGTCAAAGCAATGTCTTACAGCTGCTCTGAAAGCCAGCCAGGAACTGGACATGGCCTCTGTGGGGTTTCAGCCCTCTCTTTCGGATACAACTTCCTCTGGCCAGAGCAATTCCTAAAGCAGTAGAGACTACCTGGCAGCATCTGGCCCACCCTGGGGCAAATGGCTCCCAATTCTCAAAGGCTACTTTTTTCTAGGCTCTCCACGTGACACAGCTCACTAATTTTCTAGAAACAGACCAAGGCATCATGTCATTTGGGAAAACAAAAACAAAATTTGGGGTGCTTTTGTTTCCAGTCAAAGTAACCAGGAAAAGTAAGGAAGTGTGATCATTCCTTTGATGGATAAGAACAAGACTGCACACCAATGTTCATCCTACTCCTGAGACAGAAGCATAGGCTGAGTGTCTCTGTAACCTTGGCTGGAAATATAGCTGATTGCAGAATTTTGCTTTACAAAGTAATTATGTCCTGTGGCATTTAGCATTAACCAAGAAACTCTTCGGTCCGGCTCAGGACTCTGAAAATCTATGTTCTAAAAGGTGAGTTGGGAGGTGCAGATACATTCACAAAGCTGGGCTTCTGGAAGCCAAGTCGGTACTACTGGCGCCCCCTCCCCCCGGGCCATAGCTGATTTCATTCAGGCTGGGTCAGGAAAATTCCCCCTGCCAAGAGATGTGAATTGTGATTTAAAAAGAGGCTGTCTTTGTTGGTACTGGAATTGCAGCATGTAAATAAATAAGCTCAGGATCTACGTTACAGCTATCTCTGGACATGAAGACTGTGCAACTTAGAAAGGAGTTCCCCAAAGAAAGAGCAATGAGCAAAAGTGAGGAGAGAAGCCAAGAGAGATGGAGAGGATTCACTGGGTTCTCGGCAGCACCCTAGTTCTTGATTCCCGTATCCCCCGAGATTCAGTTCTATTCCTTTCCGTGTGATCTAAAACACACTTGTGGCCCAAGGTAATAAACCCATCTCTCCTTTGGTTTGAGCTAGATCAAGTGGACTTCAACTACAATTAATCAAAGGGGCCTAAAACTGAGAGAGTCTATGCTGGATAAGGCCCCCTTGTGCAATCAAAGACTTACCAAGGCACAGTGCAGGACCTGGTTAGAGATGTGTGCTCCCGGATGGTGGACAGGTTTCTCAGATCCAGAGGAGGTGGCCGTGCTACAGGATAACAGAATATCCAGTATGGTTAGTTCTCAGCAGTTCAGGGTGATACGTCTCTAGTTAATATCCATTTATTGAGTACTCACTCTATGTCAGGCAGTTCTAGGTGCTGGGAGCACTGTGTGAATACAACAAATGAAAGTCTCTGAGCTCAAGGAAATGCTACCACAGGCAGGACCCAGTCAGTCCCCATCTCTCTGCTTGGTTGGTCATCTTTGGATCTCAGCTCAATATCCGCTGCTGAGGAAGGTCTTCTTTGACCTCCAGATAACATCAGCCCCCACATCATGGGCTCATGAGTTCCTGTACTTACCCTTCACAACACTCCCCCCAGGTTGCAAAGATGCATTTATCTGTGATTATCTGGTTTAGATCTAGACTGTGTTCTGGGAGGACAGGCCTTTACTGTTCACTGCAGTAGCCTTGGCATCTAGAGCAGCGGTTGGCATCTGATCTTTCCCCACATCAGCAGCCACTGCCTGGACCATATTTTGTATTTCTTTCTATGGGCAGAGACTGCTGAACTTCCCTCCATTATCACCAGGGCGTAGGACAGTGATTCTCCTGCTGCCCAATCAGTCTCCCAGGAGAGACGTGCTTTACTTCTTTCCCTCTTCGCCTTTCTCCCCTTCCGTCCATGCTGCTTAGACGACCAGAAAAGCTGTTGGACAGTAATGCAGATGCTCCAAGGACTCTTGCAACCCCAAACACCTCTGCTGATAGACATGCACAGGACAGTGACACATATGACCAGGTCTGACATTCAAGGATTAGCGTCAAAGGTCATTCTTCTCTGCTTTACAGAAGGGGCCACCTGCGATCTTACATTCAAGCACTATTTAAATGAAGAGATGCCAGGTACATTCCATTCCTACCCATCATCACTTATTTCTGGGCCTCTGCTAAGGAAGCAGACAAAGATGAGCCCTTTGGAGTGAACTCGGCTTTGCAGGACATATGTGCGTATAAGTACCCAGGCCTTCCCACTGAATCTAAGCCACTGCTCCTTCCTCCTATACTTCATGGCCCTCTGGGATAGTTTCTCTAGTGCTTCCTCCCCAGAGCAGGTCAGGAAGGAAGCTTTCCCACATGGCCAGCAGGACGTTGCTCCCCTCTCCTGCACAGTAGGCCTGCTCAAGTGACTTACGTTTCCTCTGAGGCTTGAGATCTCTATTCACTGGGGGTGGCTCCAGGTCTGCAGGCAGCTCAGACAATGGGCTTGGGATGCTTCCTGAGCTCATTGGGATGTAGTCATCAGGGCTGAAGTGAGGTCCAAGACCAGAGGCAGTGGCCTGGGGGCCCATGGGCACGTAGCTGTCTTCAACACTGGCCGAGGCTGTGGGGCGCACTGGGGAGAACCTGCATGGCTACACAGAGGGCTTCAGTTGCAAATGATCGAAGAATAACTCTAAACTTCCTTAGTAAAGTCAGACAAGCCTCTAACTCCAGCTCTACCCTGGGACTTGCTGGAAGATAAAGGGTCATGAATTTATACAAATGCTCTAAGTATACTGTGACGCGTGAAGTAACTACCCTGAGTCAAGCATCAGAACTGGCAGGGTCCTTATAGAAGACTAAGTCCAGTACTTCCCAGACAAGTTCAAGCCTTAAGGGGGGTTCAGAGATTCAGAGTGCTTAGTCTCAAAACAGTTCAAGGGAACATACATAGGTTAAGCTATTTTTGGTAAAGCTGAGGCTGAAAAGAACTCAAGCATCAAACTTACCAAATTTAAACTAAGCCGCTTGTCTCGGTGTCTTAAGGATTGGCCTTCTACATCAGCTGCAAGAAACAAGCCAAGCTGGTGAGAAATGCAGGACAACATCAACTGAAGCTAGGGTCCAAGTCCCTATACATCTCAGGCCCTGTGCTCAGCTCTGGAGAGGTAGGGAAGTGTAACACTTTCTATATGCAAGGCTTCTTATTAAGTCTAGTTGGGCATCAGAATACATTCCCCAACAGATAGAAATCCGAGCAGATTTTGAAGAATTTTCTGTATGACGCTTCAGGTATAGGCATGGAGAGAGAGGAACACTGGATTAATAAATGGTTAGAAACGTGTCAGGTGGATATGACAAGTAGTGTGACAGAAAATTTTTAAATAATTGATGAATTGAAAGAAGAGATGTCCAGAGGGCAGCAAGAAATACAGGCCTAGACAAATGACATATAATTCTGGGTAATTACCAGCTTACAGATGGCAGTCAAAACCACAATAGTAGACGATATTATCCTGGTTGCAAGTGTGAACAGATGTTTAAGAACAAAACCCTAGAGAATCCCAATACTCAAAGAGCAGGAAGATGAGAACTGGCTCATTCAGAAAGAGCAACCACAGAGTAATCAGGAAAGTCAGGGTGGAGGGGCCTGGTGCCATAAAAGCCCAAGGAGGGAGAAAATGGCCAACAATGCAGACCAGAACAAAGTGTCCCCCAAGAACTTAGAGATGTGAAAAGTCTGATTGCCACTGAGAAAGAGAGTCAACATCATCTTAAGGGAAGAGAGTAACTCCAAGCTCAGAAAGATGTGATACAGATGAATGAAATTATCAGTATGTATTATACAAAGGTCTTCCCCAACTTACTTTATCAGATATGTCCTGATGAACATTATAATTGAACATATCCTAACTCAAAAATACATTTAAGGCACCTAACTTCCTGAACATCTGACCATACCTTGCCTGCCTTAAACATGCTCAGAACACTTAACATGAGCCTGCAGTTGGGGGAAATCATCTAACACAAAGCCTCTCTGAAAATAGACTGCTGATATCTCATGTACTGTATTGAACAAATAAAGCAGGGGGGATCATGCTCCCCACCTTCAAGCTCTACTACAAAGCCACAGTAATCAAGACAATTTGGTACTGGCACAAGAACAGACCCATAGACCAACGGAACAGACTAGAGAGCCCAGATATAAACCCAAGCACATATGGTCAATTAATATATGAAAAAGGAGCCATAGATATACAGTGGGGAAATGACAGCCTCTTCAACAGCTGGTGTTGGCAAAACTGGACAGCTACATGTAAGAGAATGAAACTGGATTATTGTCCAACCCCATACACAAAAGTAAACTCAAAATGGATCAAAGACCTGAATGTAAGGCATGAAACCATAAAACTCTTAGAAAAGAACACTGGCAATGAGAGGATTAAAGATGGCAGTGTGAGAGCTTAGAGAGAGGCTTCCTCCTAAAACTGCATATAACATGGAAATATAATTAATACAACTAATCCTGAAAGAGCACCAGGAAGGAGGACTGCACCAGACTGCATACACCTGGAGAAAAGAGCAGACCTCACGGAACAGGGCAATGTACCAAAGCTGTGGCCCGGCAGGACCCAAGCCCTTCCCCCACCCCAGCTCACTGGCGGGAGAAAGAGAAACGGAGCAGGGAGGGAGTGGAAGGCTTAGGACTGCTGAATACCTAACTCCGGAGATCTGCTCTGGGAGCACAAACCTACATTTCATGGTGCTTTCATGAGACTCGCATGACTACCGGGTCGGAAAGTTAATACAGGCAGAGTTCCTGGGAAGACTGGAATTCTGGCCACTTGTGGAAAGCAGGGATCCATATCTGGCTGCTCTGGGACAAAAGAAAGGCAGGAAGTCTGAGAGACGTCCTAACAAGGAAGCACTTAGCAAGAGGGCTGCTGAACAGGCAAGGATTGCACAGAGCTTACTGCTCAGGAGAAAGGACAGGTAGACAAAATTGTCCGGGTGCACACTGCCCAGCAGGTTGGGAGCTTTCACGATTTCCAGCTGCTCCAGCTCCCTGGCTGGCTACACAGCTCCAGGGACCCCCTCCGTGATACACAGCCTACTGAGCCTTTCCGTGGCCAGCCCCACCTGGCTTGCAAACCAGCAAACCCTACCCTGGCATTAGGCCAGCCAGAGGGAAGATCTGTCCACAGCAACTACAAATGCAAAGCATAGAGGCTTATACCTGTGTGCTCGGCCCACTGGTTCAGGCAGTGGAGACAGGAATAGCAGCCGGGAAACAGGAAACAACTCTTTCCTCCCCCAGGCACCAATACCGATCCCCTGCAACCCCCGACAATGCTTCAGGGGCTGAGCAACTCCAGAGAGTGGAGCTTCTGGGCACAAGAGGGTACCATATACAAATATGAAACGCCAAAGGAACCTGGTCCAGAGTAAAATTATGAATACAACACCTGAGAAAGATTCCAATGAAATCGACCTCAAGAATCTTCCTGAAAGGGATTTCAAAATAAAAATCATTAACATGGTCATGGAGGTATGGAAAGACATTTAAGAACTCAGGAATGAATTCCAGTCAGAGATCGAGTCATTGAAGAGCACAATGGAGGGTATTAAAAGCAGATTAGATGTGGTGGAGGAGACGATAAATGAAATAGAAACTAGAGAAGAGGAATGCAAAGCAGCTGAGGCACAGAGAGAAAAAAGAATCTCTAACAATGAAAGAATATTGAGAGAAATGTGTGATCAATTCAAACGGAACAATATTTGCATTATAAGGGTACCAGAAGAAGAGACAGAAAAAGGGACAGAAAGTGTCTTTGAGGAGGTAATTGCTGAAAACTACCCCAATCTGGGAAAGGAGATAGTCTCTCAGGCCATGGAGATCCACAGATCTCCCAACACAAGGGATCCAAAGAAGATAACACCAAGACACATAGTAATTAAAATGGCAAAGATCAAGGATAAGGACAGACTATTAAAAGCAGCCAGAGAGAGAAATAAGACCACATACAAAGGAAAGCCCATCAGGTTAACATCAGACTTCTCAGCAGAAACCTTACAGGCCAGCAGGGAGTGGCATGATGTATTTAATGCAATGAAACAGAAGGGTCTCGAACCAAGAATACAAGATTATCATTTAAATATGAAAGAGGGATTAAACAACTTCCAGATAAGCCAAAGCTGAGAGAATTTACTGCCCACAAACTGTCTCTACAGTGTATTTTGGAGGGACTGCTATAGATGGAAGTGTTCCTAAGGTTGAATAGCTGTCATCAGAGGTAATAAAACCATAGTAAAGAAAGTAGAACAATTAAATACTAAGCTAATGCAAAATTAAATGAACTACCCCCAAAGTCAATCAAGGGATAGACAAAGAGTACAGAATATGATACCTAGTACATAAATAATGGAGGAGGAAGAAAAAGGAGGGGAAAAAAAGGAACCTTTAGGTTGTGTTTGTAATAGCATATTAAGTGAGTTAAGTTAGACTCTTAGATAGTAAGGAAGTTACCCTTGAACCTTTGGTAACCATGAACCTAAAGCCTGCAATGGCAATAAGTACATACCTATCAATAATCATCCTAAATGTAAATGGACTGAATGCACCAATCAAAAGACACAGAGTCACTGAATGGATAAAAAAACAAGACCCATCTATATGCTGTCTAGAAGAGACTCACTTTAAACCCAAAGACATACATACACTAAAAGTGAAGGGATAGAAAAAGATATTTCATGCAACTAACAGAGAGAAAAAAGCAGGAGTTGTGGTACTTCTATCAGACAAAACAGATTTCAAAACAAAGAAAGTCACAAGAGACAAAGAAGGACATTACATAATGATAAAGGGGTCAATCCAACAAGAAGATATAACCATTATAAATATCTACGCACTCAACACAGGAGCACCTACATATGTGAAACAAATACTAACTGAATTAAAAGGGGACACAGAATGCATTGCATTCATTCTAGGCTTCAACACTCCACTCACTCTGAAGGACAGATCAACCAGACAGAAAATAAGTAAGGACACAGAGACACTGAACAACACATTACAACAGATGGACCTAACAGACATCTACAGAACTCTACACCCAAAAGCAGCAAAATGCACATTCTTCTCAAGTGCACATGGAACATTTTCAAGAACAGATCATGTACTAGCCCACAAAAAGAGCCTCAGTAAATTCAAAAAGATTGAAATGGTACCAACCAGTTTCTCAGAGCACAAAGGTATGAAACTAGAAATAAATTATGCAAAGAAAATGAAAAATCTCACAACCACATGGAGGCTTCACAACATGCTCCTAAATAACCAATGGACCGACCACTGACCAAACAAAAACAGAGATCAAGCAATATATGGAGACAAATGACCACAATAACTCAACACAGCAAAATCTGTGGGACACAGTGAAAACCGTGCTAAGAGGAAAGTATATTGCAATACAGGCCTACCTCAGGAAATAAGAACAAACCCATATAAGCAGTCTAAACTCACAATTAACAAAACTAGAAAAAGACGAACAAATGAGGTCCGAAGTCAGTAGAAGGAGGGATATAATAAAGACTAGAGCAGAAATAAATAAAATCGAGAAGAATAAAACAATAGAAAGAATCAATGAAAGCAGGAGCTGGTTCTTCAGAAAATAAACAAAATAGATAACCTCCTAGCCAGACTTATCAAGAAAAAAAAAGAGTCTACTCACATAAACAGAATCAGAAATGAGAAAGGAAAAACCACTACAGACACCACAGAAATACAAAGAATTATTAGAGAATACTATGAAAAATTACATGATAACAAATTGGATAACCTAGAAGAAATGGACAACTTTCTAAAAAAATACAACCTTCCAAGGCTGACCCAGAAAGAAACAGAAAATCTGAACAGACCAATTACTAGCAATGAAATTGAACGGTAATTAAAAACCTACCTAAGAACAAAACCGATGGACCAGATGGCTTCACCGCTGAATTTTATCAAACATTTAGTGAAGACCTAATACCCATTCTCCTTAAAGTTTTCCAAAAAATAGAAGAGGA